ATGCTAGAGCCAGGCGGAAATAAGCATTATGGTACAAGTCTACTGAGTACATCAAGCTCCACGAATTAACGAAACGTCCCTGTTATGATAGGATGGCATCTAGGTCTTTTGGTGTTAACGGAGAAACGGTCCTTGCCTACGGAATTTGGGTGCAGGTGGGTTGATCGCTGCAACGCCGGTTCATACATGCAGGTACTATGTGTGGGCGAGAGTCCTTCAAACCTTGGTTTACTAAGCTTGAGTGCTATCGCATTGAGGACAGACGCCGCCGCTTACAGTGGAAAATACATGTGTTAAATAGACCAATGATATCCAAATGCCCCTACCACCCGCGACAGACTCATCCTATAAATTCAGCACGTAACAAAACTCTATCAGGCCCACCCCATCAGTCATCTTGTACGGTCCAAGCCTCGCTCCACGAATGACACTGAATAAGCCACAGAATAAGAAATCACTCCGTGGGATTTGCAAATGAAATGTCGGACATTGGAATATGCACGAGGGCACTAGTAGAGCCGTGTGGATGTCGGTTCACCTGCCAGAGATGGAGGTGCATGCGCGTGGCGAGGGTTACAAGGATAGCATAATGGAAACTGTACGTGGATGTACGTTTCATGTGGTATCAGCAAGAATACACAGCGGGATGTAGAGGTGCATACCCATTCAAAATGGTCTGGTAGGTATCCTGGGGCGCGGAACATCAACGGCTCGATCATAAAATGCATGTAGGACATTCACGCACCTGAAGGAGCAGCAACGTGAAGACGGTAGTCACCGAAAACACTTGAGGAAAGAGAATGATTATGGATAATTAAGGAAAAACGGCACGAATGAATGCTAACTCACGAAGAGCGCATGCATAATAGGATATGTTGTGATTCACCAGGACAACGTACAGACGGCTTGGGTTTGTCCGCCAGCTCTGTATGGCACGTATGAGCGTGAGGATCATGAGTCCTGTGGAGAACACCAGTCAATGGGCATTTCATATATATGTGCTCCTGGTTACCCACCCAGTTCGAACACGGAAGAGAGCAGAAATGGTATGAAGAGTTGGTAACTGGTCGAACTCCGGTGGCACCCTGTGACTCCCGGGATCGCGCTAGTCGTATCTGTGAAAGAGAGCAAAATATTTCAGTTGTCGTGAAACTCAGGGGACTGAGGGTGAGAGCATGTACATGCTGCGGGGATGGTAGTGTCGAAGGTAACGCTCAAGGATGCTACGATAAACATCTGGCTGATGGCATTTACCACTAGCTTGTGTTATATGAGCGATTGGAAACTCACGAACGAAGTGCACAGCATGGCTGCGAGCAAGATTCTATTTTTGTTCCAGAGCACATATGTTCTGAGGATAAAAAAACCTGGATAGATCAGATTAGAAACACGCATAATACGAAGGGAACCAGAGATACATTCGGATAAAATGACTAATACAACGACGAGACCTGTGGGGAGAAAGTAGTAGCCTTCGACAAGGACGTGCATGTATGGATGTACCCTGTACATACCTGATTCAATATTTGCCAACACCCGGCATTTCTGGCGCGAAGTCATGCAATAAGTCGTTCGTTCTTATCAACTTGCCACCGCATCACATACAGTTGGGTTCTCATTCGGGGTAAAGTTCACTGAAAAACATGTGTTAATTCATCATCGGAGCGATGTGGGCTGGAGTGGAACGCACTATATAGATTCGTGGCAAGAAAGATAAAGGGGAGGTATCGTGTGACGATATACAGGCCTTTCATCTTGCTCCAGTGCGATCGAAGTAAAAATGTCCACTCTGGACAGCATGCTGTGGATATCAGAAGCAAGGTGTATCATGGAACAAGTGTATTACCTCTTCATGAAGCGAAAATGCATAATCATAGGTCTAAATAAGTGAGCTTAACAACGGACGTAAAGAGACCAGAAAAAGCTTACCCAGATTGTAGCCGTCGAGGCTGAACTGTGTTAGGACGAATAATGTGGGGTTCAGACAGTACGCACCAAATATGTACTGATGGTACATGACTTGTCAATTGTGATTCACCCTTATATCGACAAGGAGACACACTTTGAAGGACTGCAAGCTCATCGCTGTTGCGATATCGTCAGTTGAATACACCATCTGGAGGTCAAAAAACGTGCACACTACTATCATGCGCCTTCGTAGCTCTTATGAATGAGCGCTAGCTGTGAACCCATCGATGTGGCGGCGTAAACCCTAAGTTAAAATTAGTTCGAGATCAAACTTAGCTAGCTTACTGCGGTCGTGATGGAGCGTTTCAGCGTTCATTGGATCTACACGCCGGGGAGCAACTTGATAAGAGATGCATTGGATGACTAGTAGATGACTTCCCACAGCATTTAGATGGGACTCGTTGAAAAAGTTATAGTGACTTGTTGACGAGCAGATATTGGCTGTGTGTGCCTGTTCGTTGCTGAGTTAGAACGGCCGACCGCCCTATACGCTGATGAGTCAACTTGCATTTGCTTCCGGTGTTATGCTACTAACTAGTACTTATTCTTGTATATTTTGATCATCTCTGCAATGCTGTCCAGGTCCCTGCCAGTCTGTTTCATGTATACCTCCGTTCCTGAATCACCACCGCCACGGGTTGTAGTTGATGACCGGTGGTGCAGTTGTTTGATCGTGTGATAGACTGAAGGCAAGTATTTCTTAGCAGAGGATGATCGATGAACGTCCATGGGGAGTACTACATTGAATTGAATAGTAGGTTTTATAACTTGCCTTTCATTCAGCGACTCGGATTGAATGAATCTCAATTCCTTCTCCACACGTGCAAGCGGTCCACAGTTATCGTGACAGCGCACAGGAGTTTTGATCATACAGGACAGCAGGTGGTTCTCGGGCATTGGGCCATCTGAGCAGCTGATCACCGGTATAAGTATATATCCTAATTGAGAAGTGAGGTTGGGTCTTTACAGGTGCAGTCACCATAGTTAATTGTTAGCGGATCGTATGACTTCTCCATTCGCATCTGGGATCTCGAGACCAATCAGGCAGTCGGAGATCCACTCTTGCATGATGACCAAGTCTTGGCTCTTGCCCCGTCCCGCGATGGAAAATACATTGCCAGCGCTGGAATAGACAAAAAAATCTATGTATGGAACCTGGAGGCTGCGCTCATAAACGGTGTGGTATGTATGCGTTTTGTTGTCTAATTTCCCTTCCAATATCATGGTTCTACACGCTAATTTCTCACTCGCAGGTGGCAGCTGCAAACCCACCAACGAACGTATGTGACGTATTTATTAATGTTGTCAACCATTTCAAGCTCGTCACTCTAGAGCAATACTACCCGGCTCCCACCTATTCATGCCCGTCGAATACCTCCAACGTTTTTTGATGATTTTGACATTCATGTGGGTTCTCGCCGTCTTTTGAATCAGTTCTTATTCTCATCTCCGAGTCTTGCAATTAGTCCTCCACATCGCCTGGTGTTCATCACCCTTCTTCCCGTCGCGTCCTCGCACCATCTATTGAGAGTGCACGTGCACTCTTTGCCCGCATTCCGTCGCTTTTTCATCACTCTCGCTCCAGCGCCGGCGACGAACTCCAACAAACCCAAAGGCAAGGGATCTTCTCTCGTCGTAGTCCTTGTGCTGTCCAAGTTGCTGCAGTATGGGACAAACAGGTATTCATTCCTCGCATTCGTTTTCATACACTGGCCTAATAATTCCGCTGTAGACTTTGTTTGTTGCTCCCCGGCCAAAACAGAAGCAGCAGCAGAGAAGCCAATTGCATGGTCAGGGATCATCATCGCAATCTCAACCTACCGGCACTCCGACGCCTGTTCCAAATAGTAGCACTCAGGCTCCCACAGCAGCTGCAGTGACCATGAAGTCACGAGTCCTTACGTTGTTGGCCCGTCTGGTGCTTTTGATTTGTTGTGCACTTCTTCCAAGCACCAATGGCCGTTGATGCTGTAGCACACGAAAAACTATTCCATCTTCTCTGTATGTATACTTCTTTCGCTATGCCATGGATCATATCTTTATTTTCCCGTCGTGATACTCGTGCAGTCCGTCGGACTTGAACCACTTGCTAACAAGAGGAACGTTCCATGACTCCAAGATGATAAGCATCATGTTTCATCCGCTCAACATTCATTATAATGGACTGTCAGGTAAATCATTGAATCAATCTCAGATGGGAACAAAATCTTCGAACGTCCAGCTGATCAAGTCCCAAACACGTCCTACATGTAGGTTCCCGAAGATCAGCACATTTATGTCAGTATTTTCGCAAAGTCAGGCAGTCGAGGATCAAACGCTTGTGACATTAGGTATGTCCACTGTACGCGAAGCACATTCCAGTTCTGTAATACTCCGTTAAAGATCGAACCAAGGCATGCCATGCCAGTGTTTACTATTCCCTTTAGCGACTGAGCAGTTGTAAGCTACCGCACGATCTTAGCTGATTCCTGCGATGAGTGAAAAAAGCTTGCGTTGGTTGAGAGATTCCAGGAGTATGAGAAGATCGCTGACTCAAAGGTGATATTGACCAGCCGAGTCAGTCGGACGCCGTCCTTGAGCTTGACAAGTTGATGATATGCAGCTGTGCAGGCTTGTTCATCCTGCTCGCGTGCGCCAGTTAATCAGGTTGGCATAGCGTGGCGATGATACTTGATGCTCCACTGTAGTGAACGGAATGTTTCACCAAGCTGCAAGTTAATGTCGTCGAAGTGCACCCTGCCGGAGGTGTTGAGCTTATGATCAAATGGCACTCTCGTACGTGATTCTTGCATGCGCTGATCATAATGTGTGAGATCATATGAACATGCAGTGGTGACATTGATCAGTGTTTCACTTGCCTGATGTGCATTGTTTCGACATTGCGCAGCGTGAGTCGCGCTGACGCCGACCAGGGATGTTGGCAGAATGGGTCAATTCCATCCCATCGTCATCTGAGGATGGGTCTAGACCAGGGCGAAAGTTCACAATTTAATCCATACCAGAAGTAGATAACACAAACAGCGATCCTATAAGTTCTAATAAGATATGATAGCAGGCTATAGCCTGAAGGTGGGACATGTACCTAAACCATCCAGGTGTGCTCCGCTGAAATCGCATGTAGCACGAAACACTAGGACGAGATAGAAGCGCTCTCCCCAGGGAATGAGGCATCGCCAAAGGTGGAACAAGTCTTTGAAGAGCCAATTTGACTGGGAGGGACAAAATGTGGTCCAAACACATCAGAGGAAACGAGTATTGCATAAGACGACTCTTAAGTAACAAAAGGGTACGCTCATTACTAGTGAGAATGTGCCGCTTATATAACGATAGCCTGTGAGACAGATAGTAAGCTTCGAGTTTATGGAAAGAAAGAGGCAAGGATAATCAGTGGTGCAAATATTTGGCTTATGCTCTACCGTTCGTCAACGCTTATAGCTACGACTGGGGCGGCAAACGAAATCATCATGAAAAAAATAGGAATGTCACCCACCTTTTACATTGATGTCGGTCTGCGTCCTAATAGACGAAGGCCACCCAATCGAATCGGCTCTACAACTGTCCGAGAGAACATTGGAGAAAGATATAACGAAAGACCAATGCGGACGGGTAAAAGTGCCTGAATGAATATCAGTCACTATCCCACCCGTGGTAAAGGAAAAAAAATACCTTGACTGCACCGTAAGCCAGAACCGCATTAGCAACGTCCCCCGCTAGCTTACCAGACAACTCGCTCGTCTGGGTCTGGTCAACAACCTTGCCTTTCTCAAAGCCGAAGATGCCATATCGACGTCCAACGCGACCAGCCCATTGCTCGCCCTCATCAACCCACGATCTCAGCCGAGCGTTCACCCAATACTGGTCGTCGATAGAGCCATCCCGTTTGAGAGCAACAGCATTGACAGCCCGTTCACCTGCGTTTAGACTGCGTGCCGTGTAAAAAATGCCCACGATGGGAACGATGGCAGTCAACTCATGAAGGATGGCAAAGGAGATTATGAGAGAAGGTAGCGGTGTTCCTGTCCTCCCAGACACCGCGGTGAGGGCATTTCTGTAAGGTGCAAATCTTCCCCCAGAGTTCGACATGCAAAAATTTATAGGCAGGACGCAGCTTAGGTAATAAGACCGGTTATGTGTCGAGTGGCTGTGCAGGTAAGCGCGAGGCCCCCCGAGTCGTTCCGAATCAGTAAACCGGTGAGTTCTTGCTGGGGATTATGCAGACTCCAAACCATCGGCAGGTGTGAGAGAGTCTTCATACTGTTACCTTAGCCGAAAACCAAATATGTACAACATAATTTCAAACACCGCAACTTTGAGACTCTACACACCAAGCCGACTGGCAAAACTTGTAGTGGCGCGAGGTTTGTATGTATTTGTCCCACCGAAAAAGCCTTCCGAGCGCGCTGACATATCCCAAAAGAAATGGGAGCAATCGAATATTAACTGATGTCACATTGTTTATAAAAAGACAAATGGTATTGTTTAATTATGTGACGGAAATAATAATAATTAAATATTAACAGTGCAGAGAACAATGGCAGAAAATGCATAAAACAAAAGACAGAGTCCTAGCTTTCGTGCTGTTGCGCTCGTGATGGATACAAGTCTCGCAGACCGACTGGACAACGTGCTTGCATGTATGGAAGAAAATTTTCTCACTCCAGCAGACTTCATCAACCACATTCTCGGAAGCACAGAACACGAGAGCGCAAGAAACTCGCTAACAACGAAGGCAGTTAGAATATGTGCTGCCCTGTACAGAGAAGAACATGCGCACTCACATGTAACACAGTGGGCAATAACAATCGTGCGGGACATGCTGCACACTGAGGTGACAGATTTGTCACTCGAAAAGCACGGACTTCGTTTCAAAGCCACGTCTGCAACTGTCGAACAACTGGAGAGTGCATTCATGCATCAGCTCGCAGAAAAAATGCAGGAGGTGGCACCTAACCTGTGGCATCTATTCTTCACGCTGCTCGACAGCACACTTCAGCAGCAGCGAGCTATGGGTGGGAATGTGAAGGTGGGCAATGAGGACATGGATATTTATGTTGAAGAGAGGGACCTTGGAGAATTTGGAGGTGACGACATTGGAGGAATGATGCGCGAAGAAGACGACGTGAATGAAGAAGCTGTTATTCCACCATTGTTGAATAACAGGGGAATCCAGAAGGTAAGAGTCTTTCCTGAGCCGGTGGGTGAGATGGTGAAGACATCTTTGTTCTCAAGCTGGTTGTGAGCGGACTGGAGTTGCCAAGTACAAGGAGTAAGACCCAGTTTCATTTCTGCAATGCGTTTCATTTCTGCAAAGCTCGGTACTTCGAACCGGCCAGCTGGTGATGACATCAAGATACGTGACTTAGAAGATGTTAAGTCTCAGAAAGGGATTATCCATCATGTCACTAAAGGCACGTCACGCTAAAGATTTTTGACAATAGTATTCGATTGCTCCCATTTCTTTTGGGATATGTCAGCGCGCTCGGAAGGCTTTTTCGGTGGGACAAATACATACAAACCTCGCGCCACTACAAGTTTTGCCAGTCGGCTTGGTGTGTAGAGTCTCAAAGTTGCGGTGTTTGAAATTATGTTGTACATATTTGGTTTTCGGCTAAGGTAACAGTATGAAGACTCTCTCACACCTGCCGATGGTTTGGAGTCTGGGGATTATGCTGATTATGGTGCTTTTACATGGTCATATATTGCTTTGTATCACTTTATATTACAATGTGACGAAAACCTTTCCTATATATTACGATATATAACGATATATGACGATATCTTCTTCTCACAGGTTCTCTGATGCCGCCCGCCCGCCCGCCCGCCGCCACTCAGTCAATGATATAAACTGTCCTGTAGCTGCCATGCAGCAACGCGACGCATGGGTACGTGTTTTCTCTCCGCAACAGTGCATCAAATACGATGGCCCCTCCCAAGTATCTCGAAGTCGCAGAAGTCAAATTTGGTTTGACACCCATCTCAAGACACACCCGCATGCGCTGGCGCTACTGTCTCCACAATGGCGGGCCCATCTTCAACTACTAGTATTACAGGCTCGTTCACTACTTTCGCATATCTCAAATCTGTGAATTCCTACACTACCGTCTATCATCTCACTAGCCCATCGCGCATTCTCCAATGTCTTTGACCACACCACATTTCCGAACAATTTCATCGGACACTCCCTTGGCAATATGCCATAAATGTTGATCTTTTGGTAATTTCATGAGCGATATGACGGGTCAAACAGTGTTTCCGGTCCGCATCAAGGCAGATGTCCTGACTTCCCCGCCCTAAAGTAATGTTTGTCACTGACAAACCATGAAGTGCAAATAACTTACCCGGTCAAGTGAGACAAATTTGAATTGTTGACAGCGTAGGTCATTGCAGATGTGGTCCTATCATAACAGAAACATTTCGTTAATCCGGAGAGCTTGGTGTGCTTTACTAGATCTGTACCATAATGCTCCACGCCGTCAGGCTGTACATGTGCGTTTGGCACTAGCACACTCAAATCCGCCGTCGCTTACAGTGAAAACTACGGGTGTTAAATGGACCCAAATGCTACTACCACCCCGGGGACAGACTCATTCTATCGGGTTGAGCACGTAACCAACTCTACCCAACCGTCTCCCACTAGTCATCTTGTACGGTCCAAACCTCGCTCCACGAACGACACCGAATAAGCCACGGGATAAGACAATCACGCCGTGGGATTTGCAAATGAAATGTCGGACATTGGAAGATGCACGAGGTTGCTAGTAGAGCCGTGTGGATGTCGATTCACCTGCCAGAGATGGAGGTGCATGCGCGTGGCAAGAATTGCAAGTATGATAAACTGGAAACTATAGGTGGGTGTGCATTTTGGGTATTGTTAGCAGGAGAATGTGGCGGTACATACTTATAAAAAAAGGTTTGGTAGGAGTCCTGGAGCGCAGAACATCAACGGCTCGATCATAAAAGGGATTTATGATATTCACGTACCTGGAGGAGCAGCGATGCGGAGATGTTCGTTACCGAGAGCACTTCAGGAAAGACAGTGATCATGGATGAGTATGGGAAAACGGCGCGAACATGTGTAAACTCACGAAAACCGCATACATAATAGGATATGTTATGGTTCACCAGGACAACGTACAGACGGCTTCGGTTTATCCGCCAGTTCTGCACGGCGCATATGAGCGTGAGCACCATGAGTCCTGGGGAGAACACCGGTTAGCATGTGTTTGTACAGATATATGCCCATGGTTCCCACCCAGTTCGAACACGGAAAGGAAAAGGAATGCTACGACGTACTGGAAACTGGTAGAATTCCGGTAGCACCCTGTGATTCCCGGGATCGCGCTAGTCGTATCTGCAAAAGGGAACAGAATGTTTAAGTGGTCGTGGAACGCCAGAGGGAAGGTGAGAGCGACTACATGCTGCGGGGACGCCAGCGGCGAAGACAATGCAGAAGGATGCTACGAGAAAGGTCTGGCTGATGAATTTACCACTAGCCTGGGTATTGTGAGTCAATTGGGAACTCACGAAAGAGGTGAACAAGATGGCTACGAGCAAGATTCTACTTCTGTTCCAGAGTACATATGTTCTAAGGATAAAAAAACCTGGATGAATCAGGTCAGAATCATACATAATACGGGGGGAACGATAGATACTTTCGGAGACAATGACTAATACTATTCCAAGACCTGTGGTAGGGAAAGTAGTAGCCTTCAGAAAGGACGTGCATACATGAATGCACTACGCACGTACCTGATTGAGTATTTTCCAGCACCCGGCATTTCTGGCGAAGTCATGCAGTAAGTCGTTCATTCCTTAACCGTCCACCACATCACATACGCCTGAGTTCTCGTTCGGGGTAAAGTACACTAAAAAAACAAGTGTCAATTTATCATCAGGGCGATGTGTGCTGGAACGCCGGGACGCACTGAATAGATCCGTGGCCAGAAAGATAAAGGGGAGGTATCGTGTAATGATATAGAGTCCTTTCATCTTGTTCCAGCGTGACCGAAGTAAAAATGTCCACTGTGCATAGCAATGATATTGTCGATATCAAAACTGAAGTGCGGAGTAAGTGTATACCTCTTCATGAAGTGAACATGCATAGTCATAGGTCTGAATAAGCGAGTTTGTCAGCGGATGTGGATAGATCAGAATAAGCCTACCCAGAATGTAGCCATCGATGCTGAACTGTGTTAGGACAAAGAATTTTGGATTCAGGCGGCACCCACCCAATATGTACTGATGGTACATGAGTTGTCAATTGTGATTCACCCTCATATCGACAAGGAGACATACCTTAAAGGACTGCAAGCTCATCGCTTCTGTGACATCGTCAGTTGAATACACCATCTAGAGGTCAAAAATGTGTTTCACAAACACGTACACACATCATGCGCCCTCTTAGCTCTTATGAATGGGCTGTGAGCCCATCAAGGTCACCGTGGCGTAGACGCTAGGATATCATTGAAGTTACTGCGAGTTCAAACTTAGCTAGCTCGCTGCGGTCGTGATGGAGCATTTTACCGTTCACTGGATGTACCGGCCGGGGAATCACTTGATATTGGATGACACATCGGCGGTTTCGGAATTTTCACACAAGCAAAGATTTGAATCAAATGTCGGAAAAATATAAATGTGCCTTGGAAGGCTTCTCTCTTGCGTCACCATTTCGGCATCTTCCAAGCACAATGCAGCCGTAACCCAAGACCATTCCATGGAACATAGGATATTATTGGTACTTTCAAGGGCCCAGTCATATTTTTGGCTGCTTACAAAGGAAGGACGGCATGTTTCCAATTGGCTTCCAAGCTCGAGTTGCTTTGTCAGCATCTGATCAACAACGCCCAAGTGTTGTAACTGTATCTCCGTCCTCCCAACCTCAAATACTGTTTATATTGTACTCATTCACGATGGTACGGTCAGCTCAAGCCCTGGACCAGGCACAAGGTTCATTGTCATCGAGGCACTGGAATCACGTTCAGGTGAAGTGTAAATACTGCAATCAGCCATATACATCCCGAGGCGTTGCATCACATGAGAGGAGTTGCTCGAAGACACAAGAGAAGAAGAAAGAGAGGAAAGAATTTGCAAAGTTAGCCATGCGAGCAGTTGAAGCGCAAGAAAAAGGTGCGTTCTCTATTGTTATTATTGTCTGACTGTAACTGAATCAGCTTATTTGATCAATGCAGCACGCCATCGCAAGAAGAAACAGCGTGCAAAGGAGCATGCTAGTGCGGTCTCCATGCAGCCCCTGGACCAATCAGTAACAGACATTGTGTCTGATTCAGAGGGCACTCGGGTCGTTGATGAAGGCAGTGCAGGTCCTGTCGATATATCACACTATGATTACTATGAAGGTGATCATGACGATGTTGGAATTGCCAGGGATGTTGCTGACCCACGACAACGTGAGTACATAATATGCTACTATTTGCGATCTTCGTGACTGACTATTTCTAAATGCAGGTTCGGGTTCAGACACAAGTATGGCAAGCATTCCTGGACCAGTGCCTTACAACTCAGCTCGTCCTGCTGCTCACCCTGATATCGACTCATTCAAGACAGAATATCATCCAAATAGCGGTCGCCCCACTTCGGTCGAAACATTTTCTGCATTTGGGCATGGACACACACAACCAAAGTTTGATGACCGTGAACCATGGCATCCTTTTGCGTCTCGTGCAGACTTTGAATTTGCTTCGCTGACACACAAAGCCGCTCTCAACAAGGAGCAGACTGATGAGCTACTGCGGCTCATTCAGAACATTGTGGATGGTCATGCAAGGCTAACATTTAGGTCTCACAATGATGTGTCCAAAGCCTGGGACACCGCTGCAACCCAGTTGACACCAGTGAGTACTCTTTATTACTTCGCCCCGGTCGAGCTTCTAATGGGCTAGTTAATGTTGTAGTTTGAGCAGCATACTATCTCTGTAGATTACAAGCAAGACAAGCTCGAGTTCGAAGTATATACACGATCACTATGGGACTGGGCGCTAGATTTACTGCAAGAGCCATTGTTGGCCCCGCACTTTGTATGGGATGCCCAGCGGCTATTCAAACACAACGGCACTCGGTATGAACATTTTATTCATGAGCCATGGACTGCAGACAGGTGGTGGCGCATCCAAGTATGTGCATAATGTAAATATACTGTGTACAAATGTCGCTAATAAGTGATATCATTGACATGTTGGTTTGATTTTAAATTGTAGTCGAAGTTACCTAATGATGGGGTGCCCTTTGCGATCATTCTGTACGCCGACAAAACTCATTTGTCCTCATCTGGTATTGTCAAAGGGTATCCGGTGATTGCCCGTTGCGGGAACCTGCCGGTCAACATCAGAAATACCACTGGAATGGGAGGTGGTCGAGTTGTTGGCTGGCTACCTATCGTAAGTACTCTCACTTCATTTAAATTTATGCTTCAGTAATAATGGAGCGGGATTCTTGCAGGTGCCCGAGGATGCTGAGCAAAGTGGAAAGTTATCATATACTAACATAAAGCGCGTGGTATGGCATAAAGCCTTCTTGAAGCTACTGGAATTGGTCATAATTTTCTCAAAAACGGGATTCGCGCACCATTCCGACTTCAATAATATCATGCGCTGGTTGTTCCCACTCATTTTGCTCTTGTCGGCTGACTATGAAGAGCAGTAATATATTTTTCTTCCCTTTGTGATGTGTATTTCTGATACTATATTATTGACAGGTGCGTGATGGCGCTGATACGGGGGACAGGTTCCAATTGTCCTTGTCCCATCTGCCTTGTCCCTACAGCTAAACTTTCTGACCATGCTGCAACATACCCCATCCGGACAGTGGAGGATGCACAAGATTGCCTCAAGCTATACCAGGAGGATTGTGTCGCTGGAGAAGAGGCCCTGAAAGAGAAGAGTCTTCGACCTGTTGAGGTACGTTACTGTAACCTTACCCCAATGTCTTTCTCTCATGTTGATGTGGCATTTAGAACTCGTTCTGGCAAGTTCGGCACTCTAACCCTCATGAAATAATCTCGCAGGATCCGTTGCATGCCTTCCATGGTGGTCTGTTTGGCAAACATCTTTGGACTGAGGTTAAGAAGCTGTTGGAGAATCTTGGGCGCAGCGCCTTGAAACAAGTGGATGATCAGTGAGTATTCAAAATTTGACGTATATTGTCTTCAAGTCTCTCATTTCAATCGTTATCTCCTGTCTCAAGGTTCACTGCCTTCCCACGGTGGCGAAATCTCAATCATTTCAACAGCGTCACAAATATCAGCTATAGCGATGGAAACAAGCTTCAAGATATTTCAAAGGTGCGTCAATTTTCTATATTATCAATACAATACTTTCTTACACGTCTCCTGGGGTAGTAATTACTTTATGCAGCTCAAAATGTGCTAACACAGGAAGAGGACAAGGCTGGCTACGCACTCTTGAAGTGTATAGCCAGCTACCTTCATATTGACATGTACATATCCCTTGATGTTCACACAGAGAGTACCATCGCCGCTGGAGAAGCCGAAGTTCTTGTATTCCAGAAACACATGGCGGTACATAGTTTTTTTTTTCATTCTTCAATGCTCAGTTGAATTAAATTACTACAGGATTATATAATCGCTGCACGTCACACAGAACTGGGAACAAAGAGTTGGAATTTCCCGAAGATGCATTCCCCGAAACACATATTCCAGGACATCCGGGAGAAAGGCGCCGCTCGCAACTTCAGCACACGACCGAATGAAGGATGTCACAGGCCACTCAAACGAATGTATTCGCTTCAAACAAATCGCAAGGAAGTTGCAGGCCAGGTATTACAGTCCTAACATCGTCACTACTATTCTAATGCCACCACAATGATACAGATTCTCAAACTGGATCATAAGAGCTTTGTCTCTGAAATGATCTCTGGTCGCATTTTCCACCTTGATGATTTGTCAGAACTTGAGGATGAAGATTCTGAAGATTCTGACACTTTGGATGACGACACTTTCTCAGGACATGTCTACCTTGGTTCCGCACAATCACCCACTACTTTTGCGGACGTAGAGAAAGAAAATCAATCTAGGCGTACTTTCAACAGGTTTCGCCATAAGTTTACAAAGTTCATCAACGAGTTTCTCCCATCGCATAACATCCCATTGCCGGAAGGGACAGTATGGTTGAAACCAGCTGCGCAAGACAAAGTAAGTGCATTATAATTACTCCGTGGTATTAGATTGGCTCAACTACATTATTTCTCATAGCTCCAAGAGTATCGCTATCTTAAAGTGAATTATGAATCAACTGTTGATTGGAAATTGGCCACCGACTACCTACGGTGTAATCCAAGCTTCCATGGGCACGAAAGGTACGACTGCGCACTGATTCGTACACTCAACAAGGACAGGAACAACAAGAACATATTTGTTCGGATACTGTTCATCTTTAAGTACATGGTTGGCAACAAATCCTTGGATCTTGCCCTCGTGCTCCCCATGGATACTCCGCTTGGTGCATGTCGCACAGTTGATCGTGATCTACGATTGACTCGGCTGCACGCTCGACCGTCAGCATCTTCTGAATTTGTCTCCCTTCATTCAATCATTCGTGGTGCCTTGCTTGTTCCTGATTTCAATAATGATGGAGACTTCTTTCTTGTTGATTTTGTCGATCCTGATATGTTTCTTCGTTCTCAGAGAAAACTTCTATTTTGATTTCTACATCTACATCTATTAAGCACGAGATACTGCCGCAATTGCATCCACCACGTCTTCCCACTGTGTTGCTGCGTGTTTATACCATTCTTTGTCTACTGTTCACTAAGTGTCGTCACAGATGACCTTGGGTGTAAGCGTGAATACAGATATGAAAAGACGGTGACCTGAAGATCCCTGAGCAGTAGGACAGCGCACTTTGAGTCGCTGGATGGTGAATGCCAGTAATGATGGTGATTAGGCTGAATTCTCATTCTATAATCTAGATACTGACGCCTCACCTGATTGATTTCTCGTAATTGGAACATGCCCTGGGCTACAATACTCCAGGATTTGTTGGAGTAAGTGTTGTCACAGATGACCTTGGATGTGAGCATAATGAATGCGGATATGAAAAGGTGATTAGTAGATTGAGTTCCCATTCTAAATACTTACTGATGCCTCACCTGATTGATTTCTCGCAATTGGAACATGCCCTGGGCTACAATACTCCAGGACCACCACCCCTTCGGAATCACTCAGTAAGTTGCAGTGTTGCTGCGATGTAATTACGTCGTTATTAATACTAATAAGATTTAAATTCAATTCAGACGCTATAACTTCACCACAGCCAGCTTTATTATGCTGCCTCATTGTAACAGGTTGGTTGATTGTCTGTTGTGTCACTGTTCTTACATATTATTACAGTGATATTACTCTTACTTGTGTTTGTGTCATACAAGGTGGCACATCAACATACGTGGCCTGTTGATGTTGCCACTCGACATCAACACTTAGCCGTATCAGTATAAAGGTAAGTTGTTGGATTTCTTTACTTTACTCCGCTGCTCTCTTCTGTTAGCAACAGTATTCATTGACTCAGACTCTCAATCTACAGTGCACCGTCATGCCTCAATGCCAAGACCGTAACCTTCCACCACTGGACTCAAATGACTCAGATGTGCTTGATCTCGAGCCCTCAGAATCTGACTCTGATGAGTCTTCATGTGACTCTGACGCAGAACTTGTCCAAGTTCATGTTGCACTCACACCAGTTTCGGATGATGCAACACCTCAAGAGCTGCGACAGGTATATCCAATAGCTTTATCATCTAATACTCACTCATCAGTTCTTTCAAATTAGGCACTTGAAACTTCGCAAAAGCTTCTTCTGAACATGCGCGGCCAGTGTCGAGAGCTTCTGAAGAAGAACGCACTCCTTGAGGCTTCAGTCTCTCATGGCCGAAAGAAACTCACAGGACGCAACTTAGCCCTAGCTGCAAAGCAAGACACCATCAAGGCCTATGGACGCAAGTATTCTATGACGCATTGTCTGTGGATTGATGTCCATATCTTCCCTTTATGGACATGTCCTACCATCGACCTCTCCAGCAAGGAGCGCTGGCTTTCTGCACTTGCAATCGAGGATGGCGTCAAAGCAGAACTATTTCAGTTCATTTCCAACACTGATCATGAGCTGATGAGCCACAAAGACTTTGGTGGTCCTGTAAGTGTGTAATTTATTAGATTAATAATGACTGAATCTGGTTCACTTAGTTTTCGAAGGGCATCAACTCTGTTCGCTCTGAAATGCTTTCAGATGTGAAATCATGTGCTGGCTCCATCTTCGGCATGAGCTCAGACATCTTCCTTGCAGGCTACAACAGACACGAGGAACAGCGATGCCGTACACTGATTGTAAATCCAGCTGGTTCGCACACCAAATTTGCACCGGTTTTGTTCCCTCATCCTGAGAAACCTATGGTATCAGACTTTCTGAAGACTGCAGCGGTTGTTAAGGTATGTATTTACTTTCTCTGTTCTCCCTATTATGCTAAAGACACTGTTAACCACATGTGGTAGGTCTTAAGAGTATCCATCTTTGGCAAGGCTTCAATAGCCTCTACGACCATCCCAGCTGGAAAAACAAAGGCCAAGATTTGGGAGTTGCGCACGATCACTCCTGGAATGATAGCTGCAGCTGCCGTTGTCGTAAGTCAATTTAGTTTTCAAAGTTCAATGCTAATTTTGAATCTCTTGCAAAGGCAATATTTATTCTATCTGGTGATAAGGACCTTGTTCCAGTTGGCGCCGAGAGCAAGATCCCATATCGTGATTACCACAATTGGTACCGTCAACGTCTAATGAGTGGAGACAAGTGGTCAAAAGAGGTCATCGCATTCTTCAACACCTCTCTCTTTTCATCCTCCTCCTCCTCTATACACCATACCTCCGCTCCTGACGAAGGTGGTCCGAGCAACACATGGGAAGAAGAATTCGAGCGGGCTATGGATGAAGGGTCCAGCATTCCTGTCTTCAGCGTCAGTGCAGCGCCACTGGTGCCATTGTTCCCTACTGTACCCATCTCCAGCACCAGCACTCCACCAGTACCATTACCCATTCAAGTGCACGCTATTCCAGTATTAGCCCCAGTGCTACATGAATCGATCTCTTCTGCGCTGCAGGACCTGGCTTTATCAGACGAATCAGATCTAACCTTACCAGATAATCAACCAGCAGAAAATTTGGCTGAGGCCCGCCCGGTTTCTGTTGCGGTCAATGCAGCAAAATTGAAGCCCTTGAAGGAAAAGGGGAAGAAAGGGCCAAGGCCAAAGGCTATTAAACCGAAAGGCAAGTCTATGGCGCCTGCGCTTGGTGAGGATGCTACTGGAGATGGTGACAATGAATCTGTCAATGGTACACGGCGGAGGTCTGGCCGGAAAGCAAAGTAATAGTTTCAACTTTGTTTCATTCTACATGCTTATCTACCTAGTTATTTAAGTTTAGTCTAAGAGTCTTGTCAATACGTCGTTTGATTTTATGATATGTTTGCAAGACATTCCATTTATGGATTGGTTCATACAAGGCCAAATAATCTTGTAAGCAACTTACATTGGGCTTTCTCGACGTCCTTCCTTCCCACATAAAATTTTTCACTACTCACCTTAAATTTGCTCTTTGATTTTGAATGTCTGTTGCATTGAACGTCGTCTTGTCTCCCCTGATTCAAACTACTCAGACCTTCGGGCATCCTGACTGTGGATGGCTTGCCAATCAAAGGCTGACCGCAGCCTGGCAAGTCCAGTAGTAGCTACATCAGGTACTCAGACTCACGTCGCTACAGATGCTAAGAGCATGCAATTCGGGTGGCATCTAATTATTATGTAGCTCGCTCGTGTCGGCACGCGATACACTCCCTCCCGTTGAGTGTCTCCAGCCACTCCCTCCCATTGAGTGTCTCCAGCCACTCCCTCACACGGGAATCAAGCTTTGGATCCTCACAGGCGACAAACTCCAGACCGCGATCGAGATTGGTAAGTGGGATTTTTCATGTCGTCTAGTGATGCATCGGGCCTGGCCTGGCCTGAAAGCCAGGGCTTGGGCCTGAAAGAAACTCAGGCCAGGAGTCTGCTGATTATGCCTTTGGTCAATTCAGGTTTTTGACGAAGTTGCTGCTCGTCCATGGGAGGTGGTCGTACCAGCGTATTGCTGATATGCATAGTAATTTCTTTTACAAGGTATGTTGCACGATTTTATTTGATTGTACCTGCCGTTAATTTGTCGCTTCAGAACGTTATCTGGACGTTGGCCATGTTTTGGTTTATGCCATTTTGCTAGTGAGTTTCTGTTCTTGGTTTATATGCACTAGCTGACAACACTTTTGAAAGCTTCGACGCAACCTATCTATATGATTACAGCTTTATTTTGTTTTAAAGTCCTGACGACAATGACACAGATGCTATCGAGCTGGTCCCCCAGGCCGCTCTACCGAATCCCTACAACATGGAAGATAGTGTCTCGCCCAGTCCCTCTTACTACTCGCCATCTGACATCCCTGCGCCCTCGCCCATACCACCCTCGTTCTACAAGTATTCATCAGGAGAAATAAGCAGCCAAACATTTGCCGGGCCGTCGCGCTCACACTCCCTGAGCCCTGAGCCTCCCGTTCCAAACTCACGCTCGTTTCGCCCAAGCTTGCAGAGGACCTCGCAGACCGCTCGACAGAACAGTATTCTCAATCATTGCGTTTTTCCGTGCCTTGGCTGTGTGCCACTCGGTCTTGGCAGATAAGCCTGAGCCACAGGAGCGCCCTTATCACTTGGAGTATAAGGCTGAGTCTCCAGATGAGGCGGCGTTGGTTGCTGCTGCGCAGGATGTTGGCTTTCCTTTTGTGGGCAAGCAGAGGGACACAATTGACATTGAAGTGCTTGGCCAACCTGAACAGTTCACGCATATGAAGACACTCGAGTTCTCTGGCGCACGTAAGCGCATGAGCGTCATCGTCCGTGCATCAGATGGACGCCTCATCTTATACTGCAAAGGAGCGGACAGCATCATATACGAATGGCTTGCCGAGGATGTGGACCCTGCTTTGAAGGAGAAGACGACCAAGGACATGGACTTTTTCGCTAATGGTGGTTTGCGCACGCTCTGCATTGGTTATAGAGTGCTCGAGGAAGACGAGTTCTTGAGGTGGGTGCAGACGTATGAAGATGCTCAATCGGCTATCGACAACACCACCACCACCACCAATGACCACCTCGCTGCATCCAATGCCACCAGCGCCATGCGCAAACGCCCAACGCACGCCAGCAAGTGCTGACATGGCACGAACACTCGCGGACAACACCAGGACGCCAAAGATACGAAAAGGACGAGAGGCGGCACTCATTATTGCTCTTCACACTCTCGTTCTCACTCGCACACAGTGCATGTAGACTCGGCTCTGGATGGGGAGTCGCAGTTCGTGAGTCCATCGATCCTCCTTCGAGTTCGAGCCACGCTGATTTAAGTTGGTGCCCGCCGTTCGCAGTTTGGGAGTCCATCGATCCTCCTTCGAGTTCGAGCCACGCTGATCCAAGTTGGTGCCCGCCGTTCGCAGTAGTAGACAATGTGTCCTGATTGTAATTATTATTTGTAACATTCAATACTGCAATTTTTATCAATTTATTTAAAATTCCTTGTGACCGTCTTGAGGACATTAGAATACCTTGGAGGATATTGGAATACCTTGGGGACTAAGAATATCTTGGGAACCATTGGAATCACGTGCACGCCCTTGGAAGGAGCCCACAAAGTATTTCATTGAAAATTTCACTGCCATAAGGGAATGACCTTGGGTACATCTTGGAAGGTGCCGGGTGTCCCTTCCAAGGGACTTCCAGAAGTTCGGGTCCCATTCCAAGTCACTCGTAATGCCGGCGGCAAATTGCGCCCTTCCATTGCCTTTTAAGGCATGCCAAGTCAACTTAGTTTTTTCCGACAAAATGGGATTGATATACTACTCCCACCTCCGTGACAGACTCATCCTACAAGTGAAGTACGTAGCAAACTCTACCAAACTCACTCAGCAGTCATCTTGTATGATCCAAGCACCGCTCCACGAACGACATCGAATAAGCCACAGGTCACGCCATTGAATTTACAGATGGCGCGTCGGACATTGGAATATGCATGAGGGTGCCAGAGCCCTGTCCACGTCGGTCCGTTTTCCAGAGATGGAGGTGCATGCGTGTGGCAAGGATTGCAAGGGTCATGAACTCGAAACTATACGTGGAATGTACGTTTCGGGTATTATTAGTAGGAATACGCAGCGGGATGTGGATGTGCATACTCATACAAAATGTTCTGATAGGAGTACTGGGATGCAGAACGTGAACGGCTCGATTATAAAAGAGATTTAAGATATTCACGTACCTGGAGGAGCAACGATGCGAAGACGTTCGTTACCGAGAGCACTTCAGGAAAGACAATGATCATGGATGAGTACAGGAAAACAGCGCGAACAAGTGTAAGCTCACGGAAACCGCATGCATAATAGAATATGTTATGGTTCACCAAGGCAACGTACAGACGGCTTGGGTTTATCCGCCAGTTCTGTATGGCGCGTATGAGCGTGAGCACCATAAGTCCTGGGGAGAACACCTGTCAGTGTGTGTTTGTACAGATATATGCACATGGTTACCCACCCAGTTCGAACACAGAAAGGAGAAGAAATGGTATGAAGTACTGGAAACTGGTCGAACTCTGGTAGCACCCTGTGATGCCCGGAACCCCGCTAGTCGTATCTGTAATAGTGAACAGAATGTTTTAGTCATCGTGGAACGCCAGAGGGCAGATGAGAGCGAGTACATGCTGCGGGGACTCCAGTGGTGAAGGCAATGCTGAAGGCTGTTGCGAGAATAATCTGGCTAATGCATCTACCACTAGCTTGTGTATGGTGATTGGATTGGGAACTCACAAAAAAGGTGGACAGCATGGCCACAAGTAAGATTATATTCTTGTGCCAGAGCACATATGTTCTGAGGATAAAGAAAACTGGATGGATCAGATCAGAAAGACACATGCATCAGGGAAAACCTCCCGCGAAGATTTTGTAAAATTTTCTGAAATTTTCTGACTTTCTGAAAATACATTAAAATATTCCAAGTCCCTCTACGGATGGGTGAAAATTTATGAAAATCCACACGAATACAACAAAATGATTATAATGTGATTAAATACTAGAATATCGCAAATCACAAGATATGAAAATGAGGAAATGAGACAAAACGTGTAACGCAAAGTCCCTGTGCTATCAGGAATGCCCTACTCATCCCATCGAAATCGATTCGCGCAAATGCTGCTTTCAACTCAGCGGATGCAAAGTCAACCAACTTCAGATCAAGTAGGGAAGAAAAAATCTGGTAGAACACAGTGAGATAGTGCTTGAACAGTTAGAAAAAGATGCACCACAGTAACCACAGCTGAGACCATGGAATTCGGGATCCGATGTTCATAGTAGCAATAATGGCATCGACTGCTGATAAATTTTTAGAAGTATAGTTATGATCAGAGTATTGCGGTGTATCGTAGCACACGTGTCGGAAGATCGGACAGTGGACATGAGTCAAGAGCTCATCCCGATTGGCTCGAGGACTATGAATAACGCAGTCGAGGTTGGCTTCCAACTTCCTGGAAGCATGTCAATAATATTCGTAGTCTCCAATCCGAGCACCATACCGGAAGGCTGCAGTAGGATTGCCACCGAACATAGGGCTAGCAGTGAGGCCCAAGACCATGGGATGTTCATCCTGCTCAGTCGTCACACTAGAGCCGTGGACCACGGGGAGGCGGGTAGGGAGGAACCAGGAATCAACCACATGACTCACCTGCGCGCCTCAGAATGCAGTGGCCCGGCTCTGGCCTGAGCTGCGGCTCGAGTAGGGAATTTGCGATTCTGACAGTGAGCATGAGCGGGTCGCTGTGAAACCAGGATTCAACTACATGACTCACCCTCAGAATGCAGTTTTGAGCTATGTGTATGCTCCAAATTGAGCCTGTAGCTGGGAGAGATCAGGAAGGCCGGTTGGACCACCAAAAAGAAGAGAAAAAAAGGAATCCTACATAGACACCTGGTTTGAATGACCACGCACAGATGAATGCGACAACAGAATTCAGACGCCCGCTCGGAGCGAGACTTAGCTCTGTGGTGGTGATGCCTCTCACCTAGAGTCCCCAACAGTAACCATAAGGGAGAATGAAAACATAAAGAAAACGACGTGACAGGGTGTGCAAGTGGTTGCCGCGGCTCGTGTAAGTTGCAGAGTGAAACATGAATATTTGAATGAGTTCATTGAAATCAACCGTGGGAGCCCTGTGATTAGTAATTAAATTGTTGGTGGTTCGATTTTCAATTTCTCAATTTACTTGTTGTCGCTGAGGCTAAGGCCCTTCGAGCGAGCTCTATGTAGCCAGCAGCAGACACCTCCGAATTCTCCCTCCCACCTGTTTAAATATATCCCCGTTCTGCATTGCGTGAACTCTACATTTTTGATATACTAGTAATTAGTTACATATCTCATGGCAGGTTCAACTAGAGCCCTGTAGATATCTTTTTCAGTGCATTCACTGACTGCGTTATGGATGTGACTATTTATCAACTATTTACAAGCTTTTACAAAAATTTGATGAAAGTTTGCCATAATTCTCGAGAATTGTTGTCACATTTTCAAAATTCCCGTGGGAGGTTTTCCCTGATGTGAGATGGGGGGAACGATAGATACTTTCAGATACAATGACTAATACTATTCCCAGACCTAGTAGTAGCCTTCAGAAAGAATGTGCATACATGAAAACCACGCACGCACCTGATTCAGTATTTTCCAACACCCGGCATTTCTGGCGAATTCATGCAGTAAGTCATTCGTTTTCATTAGCTTCTCACCCTATCACATACACTTGGGTTCTCATTCGGGGTACAATACACTAAAAACAAGTGTTAACCCATCATCGGGCGATGTGTGCTGGAGCGGACCGTACGATATAGATCCGTGGCGAGAAAGATGAAGGGGAGGTATCGTGTGACGATATAGAGGGTTTTCATCTTGCCCCAGCGTGATTGAAGTAAAAATGTCCACTTTGCACAGCAATAATATCGTCGATGTTAAAACCGAGGTACATCATAGAACGAGGGTATTACCTCTTCATGAAGTGCACATGCATAATCATAAGTCTGGATGAGCGAGTTTGACAGCAGACGTAGATAGATCAGAATAAGCCTACCCAGAATGTAGCCATCGACACTGAACTTTATTAGGACAAGTAATATGAGGTTCAGACAACACGCACTATGGATGTACTGATACGTAGATGACTTGTCAATTGTGATTCGCCCTCATATCGAGAAAGGAGACACACCGTAGCGAGCTGCAAGCTCCTCGCTGCTGCGAGATCATCGGTCGAATACTCCATCTAGAGGTCAAAAAATGTGTTTCACACATACGTTGTGGGCCTTATGAATGAGTTGTGAACCCATCAGGGTGGCGGCGCAAACACTGGGATACCATCATTGGAGTTAGTTCGAGTTTAAACACAGCCTCTTGCTGCGGTCGCGATAGAGCGTTCCTCCGTTCACTGTATGTACCTGCCAGGGAGCGACTTGATAAAAGATACAGCTGCACCTCCGATGCCCGAGGCAGTAATTTTACTGATAGTCCGAGTCGGCCCTAGCGTACTTCAAACTACATGGTACGAATAGCCAAAATTGGCAATCGATGTTGATAATTATTTGGCGTAATGACATTGCGATACTTTTTTCGTCCCTTGAGGTGTTGACAGTTACGCTAAGAGGCAAAGCTCGCGCGCACACCTTCAAGCTTCAAGCCCAGTGAGAAACGGTCCTAGCCATATCTCCGGAAAACGACGGAAATATTGTGACAATATTCACGTCGATTTCCGGAGAAAAATGAGACTTATAGTCGATGTTTAGCGACTCGCATCGAGCGAGATATCGTGTCATCGAGTGTGTTTGTGTAGCGTATATTCCAATATATTCCCGTAGTTCCCAATTGATATGCACATCGACGCAAATATAGCGAAATCAATTGTATTCTTGAGGCCGAAACATTACAAAAGCAATAACGACGATGCACCCCCCACGCCCATCCAACCCATGCCCTGCTCGTACACTGAATGCTCTAGTGTATTGGTCCTCCAACGAACTTGTTAATTGTACTGGCAGTATTCCTGGTCCACGTCCCGTCTTTGACCTAAATAAATCATTAGTGCATGCTTGCCATGGGAAGTACGGTACTTACAAGTGCCGCAGCCTCTCGTTTGTAGTTCTGTGGCAGTCGTGTCAGCCAGTAAGGTACCATAGAACATATGAAACGAAACTTACCAGTTGACTGTCTTTCGACAGTGCGTTCCAGTACAGTTTAAAGTCGCCAGATGTGCCATTCGGGGCAATGATCTTGAGCCAGCGATGTGCGCAGAGGTTTCTAGATGGTGGCATGAAACAATCAGTGAGCATATCAAGGATACAATTGGACACTGTACCTTCCGTTTTTTGTTGCAGTTGGCCGAAATTTCTTAGTTGTCATCGTGTCAGAACTGTTGTCCGTTGTACCAGCGACGGGCCCCGGTGTTGGTAAGATGGCATCCTTGGCTATGGGAGCCATCAATAACTCGGTTGGCGTGGTTGGACCAGGGTCCGAATTCGTGGAAGGTGCAAGAACTGGAGACGCCGAGGGATTGGGTTTCTTGGATAACACAAATTTTGCGCTATATAGAATAGATTCAACAATATACCAGGCACAAAAATCTACAAGGACTCACAGCAGATTCTTTATCTGTGGAAGACGGCTAACAGTCGGATCAGGTGCTGCCAGTGGTGTCATTGAGTCTGGCACACGTTCAGACCCAGACTCAGATGGAGGATGGCTTGAATCTGTCGGACTTGTCGGTAGGGTGGTGGCCATGGTCGTGCTGACAATCAGATCAGGTGTTGCCAGCGGTGTTATTGAGTCTGGGACACGTTCAGACCCGGGCTTGGACAGAGGATGGCCTGAATCTGTCAGACTTGTTGGTAAGGTGGTGGCCATGGTCGTGCTGACAATTGGATTAGGTGTTGCCAGCGGTGTCATTGAGTCTGGGACACGTTCGGACCTGGGCTTGGACAGAGGATGGCCTGAAGCTATCGGACTTGTCGGTAGGGTGGCGCCCATGGTCATGCTGACAGTTAGATCAGGTGTTGCCAGCAGTGTCATCGAGTCTGGCACATGTTCGGACCCAGATTCGGATAGAGAATGGCCTGAAGCTATCGGAATTGTTGGTAGGGTGGTGGCCATGGTCATGCTGACAGTTGGATCAGGTGCTGCCAGTGGTGTCATCGATGCTTCATCGACCTTTGGCCGTTTTGCTGGGTGATCGGGCTCGTTGGAGGGGGTTGGGGAGCTCAGGTCAGCAGGTGGCTCCGAATCAGATGGTGTATTACTGAGTTTCGTAATTTTTCGCTTGGTACCAGAGGACTACAATGATAGTATGATCCCAACCGAGTTAGTAGAGCAAACCAATGAAAAGGCTGAAATAGTACCACTGCGATGGCATCTGAATATTTCTTCCTCTTCTTGATGTGTGTTGACGCCCATGAGGGATAACGTTCAGTAGTGATAGCCTGGACCTTCCATCCATTGCTGCAAAGTGCCAGAACTGGGTGATGCCTCGTCATCTCATCTGTAACATCGTCCAATACATCGGTCCCTGCATGACCCCATGTGTCAGGAGCACAGTTGTTGTTGAGCAGCGTGTGCCAGATGTTTCGCAATGTCTAGAGGATGTTCGATACTTCGGCTTTCACAATGAGTTTGCCATCCGTGTCTTCAAGGAATGGGAATGGGAAAGCAGCATGATTCTCATGGACCCATTGAGGTGCGGGGGTTTTCGTCCATTTGGTATACATGTCTTCAGTCCAAAATCGAGTCTTTGGGTAGTCTTTCTGGTCGAGTGGCTGGAGCCGTGATTTCATACCGGGAATGGTGCAAGAAGGTTTGGATTTGACATCACTGTTGATAGTTAGCCCTGTAAAAGATGAAATGGCCGGAACTTCCAAGGAAATTGATGTGGCAAGGGTGTTGAAGGCTGCTCTGCAGAATCAATCAGTAAAAATGAGCATATACTCACATAAATCATGTTTCTATACTCATATGTGTCACGTGTAGCAGAGAGGGAGCTGTTTTCGACCTTCAAGCGCTGTATCTCACATTCTAAGGATTGTATACGATGATTCAAGTGCATATATGCACTCTATTACAATAATTCAGCAAACAGTAGACATAGACAATAGTACTGACTGAGCTGCCGGAGGGATCATTCCATGAGTGACGGTCTGTTGAGTGGTGATCATGATCTGAATAATTTGGTGCTTTGCTGGATCCACTAGGAATCGAGGAATTCTGAAAACGAGGAGTCTGATGCTGCTGGAAATAAGGATCATCATGCTGGAAAGGGCTTGAAAAGGAATAATCTGTAGACATAGTGGTCGTTCGAGGAAGAGATATATATGATGCAATAGCCTTGACTTAGTGTTACCAGAATGTGATTTTAAAACTCAGCGCTTCAGCATACGCGCCTAATTCAAATCTTCAGCAGCGCGTCTAAACTGCATATAACTTCAGGGACATATCTTTCACGCGTCTTCTACTAATATATCTACTGGCATGGCTGCAGCACCAGTCGACTTTCTTGGTGAGTGCCTATATTTATATATTCTATCACTGTTTAATAAACCAATTTTACTTGCAGGTGCTGCTCGGCACTCTCGCTCTCCTAGTCCCACTGATGAAGATCTGTTTGACAAAGCCATCGCAGGTCTGGCAGACTTCGATATGGATGGTGAACAGGCCAAAACCCCTATGGACAACAATGAAAAGGGTAGTAGGTCCCACACGACCAAGTTCGAAGGAGTACTAGGCAAGCGTCCTCGTGGAACATCTGACAGTGACCACAATGCCAATGGGCAAGTTCGCAAAACTGTCAAAATCCAGGCAAGTACTAGTCGCAAACCGTCAGCATCCCCTGAGCACTGCATAGTATTTATTTGTCTTACCTTTTTTTCTGTAGGATTCGTGCAAAAGCCAGTGATTTTCAAGTTGAGGAGGACAAGTAGTAGAAGATCATTGTGACACATTGCCATGCAAAGTACTCAAAAAATACATGCCGTTTTCATTTTTATTGTTAATCATCCTGTTCCTCTTGATCATCCTCTTCGACCTCGACTCCTGTTAGTGTGACATCAAGCCCAGTCTTCTCAACCATGAAATACCTATCTTCCGTGACGCCAGATGGTAAAGTGGGACGATGGGGAATCATTGCAACAACAGCGGTGATGGTTTGGACATCAATAAGTTGGAGATTTTCGTCACCATCATGTGTACATGACCACACGGTTCCATGTGATAAGTCAAGGAGCTGCTGGTCAGGGCGAGAATAAACAGATACCATAGCAACATTGGCCCATGTGAGTTTGGGTATCTTGTTATTGTGGTTGAATCCTTCTTCATCATCATCATCATCATCATCATCATCATCATCATCATCATCATCATCATCATCATCATCATCATCATCATCATCATCATCATCATCATCATCATCATCATCATCATCATCATCATCATCATCATCATCATCATCATCATCATCCTCGTCCTCGTCCTCGTCCTCGTCCTCGTTGGCAACAGCTTGAACAGCTAATTGCGTGAAGTACAAGACTTCAGCAAACTCATCAACATCGTTGCGACGGAACTATGAGTGCAATAAGTTCATGTGACTGTGAATCAATTCATGATAGATTTACCTTGACATTGTGTGAAATTCGTATATACTCAGCAGATGACTCGTTTTCTTTCCATGCCGAACGAGCAATCTGACCATGTGGGAGGCAGAGTCGTGACCAGCATCTGATCGGAGGTGCAGGATGCCCAAGGAAATTTGAGATGATGGCGGCTTCAGCAGCATGCATATGTATAGGTTTCCGGTTGCGCGCTCGCAGAAGTACATAACCATTGCCGACATCAAAAGATCCCCATGGATGCAGCGTGTTGCGAGTGTCAAATTGTGGGAGCATCGCCTTCAGAGCATTAACTCGACACCTCATTACACATATCTCCGTGAAGTTTGACATAGCGTTGGAGGGTTGACGCAAGTCAAATTCAATGTCACCAATAGTTCGCTCGAGAGTCCATTGAGATGAACAACATGGAGCGCCAACACAAGTCCCCTCTGCAGCTAGATGGTTTGCAAGATGAACACAGGGACGAACAAAGTGAATTCGATCGACACGGCGCTGATAGTAGATTCTCTCGAATTCCTCCTCCCACTCAGCAAAGCAAATACAAGCTTCTAGCATCTCTGCAGTCATAATACGATACTGACTCGTGATGCAAAGGCCTCATACAAACTTGCAGTAGTGTTGGAAGTACCTGGGAGGAAGGATACCGTAGAGCAGCCCAGAACCAATACCGAAAAGCCAAGTGATAAACTCGCGTGCTTTGTAGAATGAATGCATTTTCTCAGCAGGATTTCGAGGGGGGACATCAAAAGAACCAGGTAGATGTGTGTGAGTAGCCGCGACAGCTTTTCCATGAGCTTCCCATGTATCACGAACAAGAATGGCCCAGTCCCAGTCTGCAATGGAATCTGTAACAGCATGGCAGTCCGCAACACCACACCAAAGATCCGTAAAAAGTGATGCCATGTTAGCACCTGAAAAGTGCATGATCTCGGAGGAAAAGCATTCAGGGATACCAAGAATATGGTCAACATTGAGTCCAAGGAGAATGCTGGGTCCCACGATCCCAGTTGTTAAGCGGTTCCGTTCATACTGTGCTTGATTTTGGGATGCCATGAGGATGCGCAGGTTCTCAGTGTAAATTGCAGAGGTACCGCCAGTAAGATCACGAACATCAATATCATCGTGTGTGCAGCCAGTGACAGTATAATTGTCTGGCTTCAATAGGACAGGGTAATATTGAGATGCGTGTGGCTTTCGGCGTCCTTGGAGACCACAGTACATTCGGCAGCCGTTCTTGCCTGTGTGGCCAACAAGGCTACTCATGCAGATCAGGCCAGGCCCATCTGCAAGGGCTAGAAAAAGGAAAGGATGTGATATGAACACTATGTCGCGCCGAGCATCCCAAATAGACAGACCCTCTCTCTGAATTGCGGCAAGATGGTGAAAGCCTGGGTATAAGAATGACTGAATATACTTGGGCTTATTTGGACCGGGAATAACACCTCCTGGAAGAACATGTTGTTTCTTGTAGCGACGGTCGGGGGAGTGATCAATGATAATCCATATGTAGACCCAACAGTCTGACATTTTGCTTTCGAAGAGTTGAGCGCCGTCGATGGAGATCATAAGTACCATGTCTTCTGGTTTGATTCTACCCTGCCTGACTGCATCAAGGTACGCACTCCCGGTGAGAATGTCCTCGTAAGCATCAACATAGCCCTTGTTCCGTCTGATCTCCTCAAATATTTGCTGCGTTCTCTCATTTCTATAGCTCATGTGTTGAGCACTGCCTCGTTCACGCCACAATGCCTGAAGCTGGGGACCAATTGGGATTGTTTGGAAAACAGTGCGAGGGACTTTCTTGCGTCCATGACTGTGTGCCAGCTTTTTTTGGTCATAATGCAGTTCGTCACACATGGGACATGCATCTAGACCTGCATAAGGGCCGACGAACGCTACACAAGAGTTGATACAGCGGTGGTCGACGATGGAGGAGATACCCGTAAGCTCATGAATAAGCTTTTTGACTCGGTATAGACTTGGAACCTCTGAGTCAGGGCAGCACTTTTGAACAGCACTGCGAATATGGTCATACACCGCTTCAGATGAGTGTTGGAGGGCTAAGAAGAGTGAGATTGCAAGTTCTTCGCATGGATTATCAATACGACATGGAAACCTAGGTGGGTCCTGCAAGCGCACAAGATCCTCTCCTTTCAAGCCAACCCCATCATCGAGTGTTGCTCTCCGTAGTGAGCATATGAAGGACATGTCATGTTGGAGGTTAGGAATACGAGCAGATCGAAAGAGATAATCAACATTGACATCATTGAGTGGATTGCGCCAGGGTATGTCCTCCATGTCATGGGGAATATCTGGAGGCGCTGGCGGTGGGAGCTGCAGAAAATTTTCTGGAGGCTCCCCAAGTAGAATATCGGGTGCGTTTTGAGGATGGTCATCAGGGGGGATATCAGGAGGGTTGTATGGAAGGTCGTATAGAGGTTCATGCATTGCACCAATGGCATAGTCATCAGCATCCTCAATGTCAGCTAACGGTGGTTCTTCTAAAAAAACGATTGTCAGTCAATGATTCAAAGAGCATAAACACTATTCTTACCATGGCGCTCAGTGCCGTCTGCTTCGCGAACACATTTCTGAGGCCGTTCTTCATCAGAATCATTGTCCCGCTTTGACGAGGGACCTGCAAGGGTAGTAACACTAGCCATCTTGAAGGTATCTGACAGACTGGCTGCTCGGATTGCGGCCCTTTCATTGTCGTTGGGAGCACGCTGTAAATGTCGGAACCACGTAGCCCGAGAACCAAACTTCGTCCGAACCCCATGACAGTAGTACTGGCATATGCACCAATGTTCTTTGGGCTCCGGCATGTATGAAAAGTTCGAACCAAAAATGTTTGATGTGTGATCGTAACCGAACGTTGCGCAATGTGCAGTGATCTCGATCAGTAAGTGTTACAATTATTAGTGGTTCTCAAAGTTAACTTCATAGAATTTTGAAAGGTCAAAGATTTGCGAGTTGCCGGTATTATTGATGCTCCGACGCTGACAAATAAACCCTAAACGTTGTACTGTGACCATCATCTCCTGGCACCTGCTATAGCGTTCTGCAACTCCATCTAGTATGCCCCAAGAATCTGATCGAAAGAAGCTGCTTCATAGTCTCAAAAAAACGAGCAATGATCTCACCATCGCACGTTATATGGAACTAATTGAGTTTATGGTAGATCAACTATTAGATGAAGACAACGATGAAGACTCTGATAAGGAATCTGATGGCGCTGCCAATGGCCGTAGTGGCTCGGATGTTAGTATACGGACCGCATCACCAACATGGCCAGTATCCCCAGTGTCCCCTATGTCGTCGATTACCTCTGCCTTGTCAGACAACTCTCTGACGTCACTCTCAACTGCATACTCCGAGTTCCTATCGCGTGACATCCCAGATATGTGCGAATGAGTCTTTACTCAGTTTGCCGATGCAATCACTGCACTCCACGACGAGGTGGAGAAATGTCGGGTCCTTGATTTCCGTCCATCTCTGAGTCGCGCGCCTCAGCTACACCTGCTGAAGGAGTGGGCTCTATTCTCACCTGAAAAATTCCGTCGCAAGCTCTGTGTTGATGCGGATGTGTTTGAAGAACTTACAAAGTTGATTCAAGGACACGCCATCTTCTACAATAATTCGAATAACCCCCAACTCCCCGTCCCAATACAGCTCGCCATGTTTCTCAACGGCGCTGGCCATTATGGCAATGCCGCAACCACCGAAGACATATCCGACTGGGCTGGCGTGTCCGTGGGGACCGTCTACAATTGCTATAAACGTGTGATGATTGCGATCCTGCAACTTCACGACCGGGCCATTCATTTTGATTCACTTGATCACGAGGATCAAATTGAGCGAGAGCGGGCGAAAACTTACGTGGAAAGTAGGACGTGTCATGAATGGCGTGGAGGCTTCCTTTGTGTCGATGGGACTCCGTCTCCCTTACACAAGAAGCCAGGTTGGCACGGGGAGGGTTTCTTCGACAAAAATTCAGACTATTCTCTAACAGCGCAGGTAAGTGTCAGTTCGATGTGCAGCGCAGTGACTTACAATCAAAAAAGGTCATTATATTCCCTCACAACCTTTGTATCGTGGACTATGTCATCGGCGTACCTGGAAGTCTCCACGACTCAAACATATTTGCGCGGACAAGAGTTTCCCGGGATCCCGAGTCGTTTTTCAGTGCAGGAGAGTGGTTGTGGGCGGACTCAGCATATGCTGCACGAACCTGGTGTGTGCCACCGTATAAACGGCCACCGGGAGGGTGTTTGACCCCGGACCAAAAGACGTTCAACTATAACCTATCGACAGTGAGTAGGAATGGCAATATACATTCATAGTCCTTACCCAACATCTAGGTCCGTGTTCGTTCAGAACATTTTTTTGGCTCTATCAAGGGCCGGTTCCAATCACTGCGGGAGCTTCACATCTTAATCCAAAGTCAGAAGGACCTCGACTACGCAAACATGTGGATCTGTTCGTGCTTCATTCTGCACAATCTAATCATCGAAATCGAGGAAAAATCCAACCATGAGGACACAAATGTCTGTTTCTATCAGCAAACTCGGAGGTTGAGGCGAGCTGATGGTGACGCAGGAGAGGATGATCAGCAAGAGGGTGGTGCGGTAGGTGATCAGACCTACATTGGAACTGCAGGGCAGGATTTTCGCAACGCGTTAAAGACGCGGTTGCTTTCCTCGTTGGAGCAACGCTAAAGACGCGGTTGCTCTGTCAAGTAGAAGCTCTTCGTCCTCTTTAGTACATACATAACCTTTGTCAAGTAGAAGCTCCTCGTCCTCCTTAGTACCCAACGAGGGAAATTTGCACTTGAGCTCGGCGAACTCAAAGCGCTTATCCCAAACCTGTAGCGTTTGCTGTGTGTAGTCACGCTTGAGATCGAGTACAAGATGGTATGCATTTCCAAGTCCTAAAAATGAGTGGTAATATAGACCTACTTCAGTTTGATTCAAAACCACGCTCCATGGCAATACGACGAATCCGAGCCTCCTCCTCTTCTCGACGTGCACGAGATAGCTCAAGCTCGAGTCTTGCAAACTCAATTTGTTGAGTCATCCTCTCCTGCTGGTGGAGATGGTCTTGTTCCGCAAGACGCATTGCATGCTCCCGCTCATCACGAGCACTGCGGGCCTTGAGATCACGAGCCCAAATGTCGCCCTGAAGTTTCATACGTTTATAGCTTTCGTGCTCGGCACGACCCTCACGTTTGCTGTCGAGGTGCTTCATTAGAGAGTCTGCCGTTTGGGACATTTTTTCTGCAGCGGCAGAGGTCTGGTCAAGGGCACTGCTGCCAGGGCGTTTGCGTGATGAAGAGGGGGGACGACTAAACTGAGGTGATGCACTTCGAGTAGGTGGATGAGACTGTTTTGCGGCAAGAGAAGGTGAACTTTCACGACTTCCTTTAAGTGAGCTGACACGGAGAGACCGCAGTGCTCGGCTGGCACCAATATCCGAGTCTTCTGAGTCGATAGGTGTAGACTGACAGCTAGGTGAAGAATCTTTGAAATCGGAAAAAACAGACAGTGGATTATCGGGGGCACTTCAATTGCGTACTGGTGAGCGCTCAGGAGAATTCAATGATACCACTCCAGGTGCATCAGAAGTTGAGATGGGAGGGAGCTGAGGTTGTTGGTACCAGGGTGGCAATGGATGCAGCGAGAACGAGTCAGGTGTATTGCTAGGACCACAGTCCAAAGGTATCAGCGGTGACGAGGAGGATTGTGATTCTATGCGGGGGGGTTGGTCGACCAGCATATCATCTGTCACATCTACAACGGCACCATCATCCACACTGTGAGTACCGACCTCAACTATTTCTCCATCTTCAGGATCATCATCCGTGCGAGCATCATCGTCGACTGTAGCCAATGGTTTTGGGTGCTTGGAAAGATTGAAATGTTCCAGCGCAGCAGATGCAAAATCTTGCCCTGCGTCCGCAGTAGAGAAGGCATGATTGAAGGCTGGATTTGTCCGCCACCAGCCATGAAGCTCAGGCCACCAGGGAAATTTTTCGAGCTTTGTATCTGATGGAGACATGGTTAGGACAGGTGCAGATCAACAGCGGCTGAAACTTACCGATCAAAGACTTCATCTTTGGATCTTCTTGTAGCTCTGCATATGTCTTTCCTGCTCCCGACTGCTTGAGTTCCTTGTTGAATTCGTTGTATTTTTTTCTCAGTCTGAAACAGCTTATCAGTGATTCCAGTGGGAAGACAGATGACACAGGAACTAGATACTTACATGCCGAAACGGGTTGAAACTGGTTTTATGAATGCCTTGGGATCCTCCTTGAAGAGTCGTTGAACCTCCAGATCCTCGTCGTTCGAAAATACAGCTTGTGCGACCTGTGAATAGACAACATCTCTCGAAGTACCACTCTGCTTCTTCTTCCGACCTTGCTCCTTGGCATCCTTTGCAGAATCGGAGAAGAGCTTGATGCGTGCGTCTTCATTTTTCTTGCACCAGGTAAGTAGGCGTTCAGTACGAGCGCTACGGACCCCCTCCCAATGGATAGTACACTTCTTTGAGGTGTCCGTACCAGTGGATGTATTGGTCCGACCTCTTTGATTGGATCTTGACATGATCCAGGGTGTTCCTACTGACAGCGATTAAGAATCAGATTAGAGCTTTGGCAGCGTTGACACCAGCAGCAACGACGTCGAGCACGCCAGCAGGGCAGGTCGGAGTTCAAAACCTGCCGTATCGGCAGCATCCGAATTCGCTATGAATTCTTTTCAAGGTTCGACTTTGAGAACCATTAATGAGCAGATCGAACACGTTTACTCAGCGCATTGATGCGTATTTGAAACCTATTTGATAATTGATCGAGCGTTGTTGACACATTGTTTACATTTATCGATTTGCGTAGTTATTACAATATTCCTGGTATATATTTTATATCATCGTCATTTGCCGTAGATATGGCTAGGACCGATTTTCACTGGGCTTCAAGCTCCAAGCTTCAAGCTTCAAACTTGATGCATGATGATCGGACAATATTCATACCGATTATGGGAACTCAGGTAAGCAACGAGCTTAATACAGCAGCAGGCACTGATGGGTATTGACGGAGCGATGGTGTGTCCTGAGACGAAAAATTCTATCTTCTTCCATTTTGCGTTCTGTCTTGTTATGAACACAGTGCGGTGTGTTATTGCTGCCCGCACCGCTGCACATTGTACTGTGCCGCAGACCAATTAGTCTTGCATCCGTGGTATTCGAATGAGTTGATTCCTGCTGACGTAGTGCCGACTTTCGTCCTTGCCTCGGAATTTCGGTGTTCGTATATGTGCTCAGATTGATTATATTTATTTCTCTGACAACCTTGCAGACACCCTGCTGTCTGTGATGGAGATACTGCTACCCAAATGGGAGATTCTATGGTTCTTCAAGTTTTGTGCAACGTTGTGAGACTGCGCAATATCTTACAGATTTATTTATGGAATCAAATATGAGCTTTATCTTCGAAGAAGAGCACGTCCACGCCGTTTTCAGGCTGGTGGATTGTTGCAACACCGGTTTATACATGCAGATATGTGTGAGTGAGAGTCCTTCAAGCTTCAATCCTCGGTTTACTGAAGTGCTATTGCATTGAGGATGGTGAAGTGGACTCTGATTACCAGCTGAGTCAACTGTTAATTTCTTCTCCGGCGCTGCGTCCTCCTCTCAGACCACTGATTTTTGTGTCAATGCAGAGAAGACTATCAACTTTAGTGTTACAGCCGCACCAGAAGACCTTGCCGACTAAGGGAGACCAGGCATTGAGCGCTGAGCCCTTGAGCTTGAACGTCTGCACACTTTGTTATTTGACACAATTCTCCCAGGTACTCAGTAGACTCTGCTGAAGTCCTGAAAGCAAGCTGAGCTCAATGTTCGGCGAACCAGTACGTACTCTCCTACACTGTAATGCAATAGCACCTAATGCTGACGACATGGGTAGCAAGTAACTTGTATTCTCAAGGACCCACATCAGTAAATTCACACTTTTCTTGGCCGCCCTTATTTGCAAAATTAAAACTTAATTACAACTTATTTACCATTATTTACTTGAGCGCGTGCAAACGAAAGGAGACGCGCGACAAACAAGTGCAATAATTGATCAAAAGGTAGCACGTGACAAACAAGCGTGATAATACAGCGATAAGCCATCAAAAGTGCCTTCGTCAATTGCAAGTAACAGAAGTGAAGTAAGTACTACTAAGACTCATTTTAGCTATGATAGATTGACGAGATGGTGTTGATTACAGTCCATGGCAGCCTCAAAAACGTTCGTTTGCGGGCGGGGGAGCAGGCGCCAGTGGGGCGATGTAGTGATCAGGGCGGATGCTGCCATTCGGGCTGAAGCAGAGGCGGAGGCGGAGGAGGCGAACACGGAGGGGGCCTCGTTGGGCTTTTGGAAAAGGATGAAGAGGTGGATGTGGAGCAGGGATCGAGACGAGACGAAACGCGTTGCGTGAGGCGCGTGGGGTGATTCCAAACTACAGTGAGTACTGAGATGTCCGATAATCGACGAGCACTCACCATTCGTTATGATAGTGTCGTCTCAGTGTCTCGTGGCCTGTAAATATAAGCCGTCAGCGTTGTAGCATTGTACACTAGGTAGAACGAACACGAACCTTTTTGCCGTCCTCCTCGCCATTTCTCATAGCCTCTTCGACACTCTTCTCCGTGATCGCTCTCCACACCCGAGTTCGCGAATGACGTGTTGAACCCCTCATCGAGTGACTTCGCAGAGTTGAAGATCTTGGGCAGGACGAAGTTGAGGAGGGCCAATAGTTCGGGAACGTTGTTCTGAAGGGGGGTACCGGTGAGGATGAGGCGGTAGCGGAAATGGTAGTACTGCGTCAGCGTCTGTGCAAGGGTACCAGTGAGGATGAGGCAGTAGCGGGAATGGTAGTACTGCGTCAGCGTCTGTGCAAGTTTCGACTGGGTGTTCTTCATGCGATGTCCCTCTGATAGCAAGCATGAACAACATAACCAAAAAAAAAAATCAAACCCACTTACCAATGATCATATGCACCCATTTGAGTTTGCTGAGAATAGGTCGGTCCTTGATGATGTACTCGTACGTAGTGAGCAGAACCTGGAACTGGCCCATCTGCAGGTCGCCTTGGAGGTTTCGACGTTGTGCAGGGTTGCCCTTGTACGAGATCATTTTCAGCGTTGGCGCCCACTTTGCGAATTCGCCAGACCAGTCCATCATTGTCGATAGAGGCACGATCTCGAGGAATTAAATATTCTAATGGGATCTGACCGTTAAAAACAGATCAAAATTTGAATTGAAGACGTACCTATGCCATACATGGCGGTCAGGAGGCTATCTCGAACGCATGATGATCAGCGAACTTGTTGACATAAAATGAGCGGAAACAATCAATGGAATGGTAGAACTTAAGGTCGTGAGGGATGTACTCCGAACCGTACATAGGTATCAGGTGTGCTGCACGGAACACCATCTCGATATGAATAACAGCAAGGTTCCGGGAACCACCCTCGTGGAAACTGGGACGGACCATCCACATGCCAGTGTCTTCGTCAGCACAATCATCAATCTTCTCAAACTAATGAATGAGAGCGCATGGATATACTTCCCAGTTGTGCTTGAAAGAAAAGAAGCATACAATTCTCGCAACTTCGAGTCCTCGCATGCCTTGAGCGTCCGAATCAGTGTCGATGAACACACAGTCATTGCGCGGGTACTCGTTTCTCCAGAGTGGACATGCACGGATATGTTCCCGTCGCATGCCACCAGTACCACTCAGATTGCTGGGAGCAAAGAAGGTTGCGGCAGCAGAATTGAAGACCTGGAGCTTGCCTTCATGCCGAGGCAAGCTACCAGTTGGGACATCTGCAGGATCGCAGGGATCATCTTGGTTGAGCTGAGTGAACAAAAAGTGTCGAATGAGGCGTCGCAGATCTGGAACAGCAACTTCGTGTGCTAACGCCGCTACTGTTCGCGCCCGTTTTCGTTCTGTATGATACAATAGTTAGCATCGAGATTTGACGCTGCATGGTATCACTTACGAGGAGTTTTGGCAAGCACTACATAACCAAGTACTGTTGGACCATCAACTACCTCACCGTCATCGATATCGATGTCTGGTTGCGGTTCAATGGCATGGGCATCTGGCTGTGGTGCAATAGGAGGGACAGCCTGTTCATCTTCATCCGGTGCTGTATGTTGCTGTTTGAGTATGCGAGAAGACGACCAGAGAAAGAAATCTTACTGAGAGCGGCTAAAGCACTTGATAAAATAGTGCCAGTGAGCATCCCTCATGCATCAAAGTCCACGCGGGATGCTGCAAGCTTGTCAAGGCGTTGATTGGTTACAAGCATCTGACCAAGAGCATTATGCCTGCTTGACCAACGCCAAGGCTCCTTTACAGCCTTGATATGTTTTGATTCTGTGATTGACGAGCATAGTCCGTTCGGGGCACCGAAAAGTCGAATCATGTCCGTATAATGAATCATTGAGTGCTGGCGAGGGAGTGAGAAGGTAGGAACAACGAGATCAAATATCTGGCGATAGCGATGGAACCGGTGAAGTGCATCTTGCATCTGGTTCAGGGTATCTTCGGTGACAACATCGCGCCGCGCAAGATAACAAAATTCTAACAATGCGCGAAATGCGCGAACCATATCTCCAGGCACATGGCCTTCAATAGCTGGAAGAAAGACCTTCATGAGCGCTTTCGAATCATCACCCGTCCACTGTTTGAAGTCGCGGCCTTGAGGAAATCGTCGTAGACCAGAAAATGATGGTGCAGCAGCGACTCTGACTTAAATTAGAAGAGAATATCAATATAATGAATGAAGGGCATACCTGCGATCTATGTCGCTCATAATCTCCTCCGCCCGCCTGGTCCCGTGCACAGCCTTGAGGTACTTTGCTACCCAGTCGACGAGATGGTCTTTGAAAGCACCTTTGATGAGCTGATGGAGGAGGTCGAATGACAGTAACTCGTGGATATCTGCTCGGGGGAAGTCGTTCGTAAAGGGCTACACAATACATATTAGTTTCGAATTGCAGAGCGGCCGGCTCCACTCACAACGAGATCACCAATGATACCGAATTCATCCCATAATACATCCCCATGTAGCTCACCAATAAGGAACTCAGTGTGCTCACGACAGCGATCCATGCCACCATTGTCGAGGTTCGTTCGAACTGCAATACATCTATGTGTATTGTTAGTACAGATGGATAATGATTACAACTTCCAATACTCACTTCGGGCACCAATGCTTAACAATACAGGATAGCACTAGTTGTTCCTCGTAATCCGCGATGTAGGGTCCTAGACTGTATATAATGCGCCGAAAATGTCCATCTCCACAGCGCACAACTTCGTATTCGGTCATTGCGGATTTCAAGCTAGAGAGAATGGCAGATAGCGAGCTGTGGAATAGCTGGCGACGAAATATCCGAAACGCATCATCTTTTGAATGCTTCTTGTCAGCTGTAGTGCAGTAAGTCAGATGAGGCGCAATAAAATCTAAAATATCAACACACGTACTTTTGGGTATGGCGAGGAAACCGATTATGACAAGAGCATCGCGGTGAGCACGCCGTACACTGTTGCGTACATTGCCGATCGAGGCATAGAGGGGATAGTACTCGTTGTTACCAGTGCCCACAGAAACGGTAGTCTTATCACTACCGAGAATGATTGGGACTAACGCAGATCCATGCGTCTCTGGATCTTTTGATATGATGTCCTTGATGAAGCGTTAGCTCTGTCCCGAGCAGTAATAGATGGAAAACATACTGATTGTTTCCATGCCCAGTCTCCAGACATGAAGTCTTTCCAACGGCGCGTCTTGTCCGATGCATCGTATTCACGAAATGGCGTATAGTCGATTTCATCTTTGAAGGTGGGGTTGGCTAGTATGTTGTGCGCCATCGCGCGAGGGTCCCTATACCAGACATCAAATTCATCATCCATCCATGGCAGGACAACCTCAGGGCGTTCTCCTGTGTACTGAACCGAGAAAGATTGCCAGGGGACATCACCAAGCTGTGTCGCATCTATGACATTGTGGAGATCTTTATGATCGGCGAATGGAGGGACATCGCGGTGTTTCACGAGAGTTGCGGCCATTAAATCACATAAGAAATCCAGGTTTTTGGCAGACATATGGCATTTTTTGAACGCAAACTCAGCCGCCTCAAATTCTATTCTATTGCGATATGGGCTCCAGTCGTCAGGAGCCTTTTGTGGCATGGGAGTTGGAGGGGCGCCATGTGGCAGAAATTCTCCATCAGCCGTGCATGGTCGTCCTAAGCATAGATCTAAGTCAAAAACAAAAACAACAAGAGTACAGATGTAAATGAACGTACCGTTTAACATCGAATGGTATGTACGATAACAACGCTCACTTGAATCGGTAAATTCTGCGTCAGCGTTGTCCGAATCCTCATGAGTTGGTTCAGAGGGCATAGGAGGTGATGGCTGGGGAGGTTGTGAGAAATCCCGAGGAGGCGGTGAGAAATCCGGAGGTGGTGGTGAGAAATCTCGAGGGTGGGATGGTGACCGGGATGGTTGAGGAGGTCCTGGAGCAGGTATATTTGGGTGGAGTGAACGCCTGTGTTGAGTGAGACCTGATTGGTTTCGAAACCAGCGTGCGCAGCCTGGAGCCGGGCATGGAAGCTGAAGTAGGTGGTGAGCACGGCGGGGAGGCATATATGTGTTGTAGGCCAAGTTGATGTTGGCAGTCGAAAAGTATATCTGAAGGTGAACGAGAAATTCGGACCGGCACCAATGTGACCAAACCAGGCTAAATGCACAAATGAAGGCTAGATTCAGGGGTTCTTGAAAGCGCCCAAATTACATAGGCTCATTGACGTTCGAGCAACACCAGAAACTTGAAGGTGTCCAATACAGTGAACTCTGGGTTCACAGCACCCGAAATATGCCGAAAGTGTTACTGAACTGCCTCCTTGCCGGACAGGTTTTAGTAAATGTTGATGTTCAAACTGCTTGCCGAGAAGCGCTTGATGAACATTGACGCCTTGCAGCAAAACTATGGGTAAAAATTAATATTCAGACTACTGGGGCTGGTGAAAAATACTGGTAGACAAACATTTGGGAGTGGCAGGCGCGAAAGGATCGCGGTAATCTAGTGGGTACGTCAGCTTGGTAAGGGTCAATGTAGATATTTATTCAGAGTCAGCTTAGACTACAATTTTTGAAGAATGGTGACGAAACATACCTTGTTGTGAGCTACCATCGCCCTCAAATTTCTTTACCCTCCCAAACGCTCCATTGACACCATGCCCACCAGCGCAGCTCCAAAACGCATGGCGACTCGACCTAAGAATGCAACTCAGCATCCAGGACATATTCTGACTGGGGGCGAAAACCGTACAAAAAGACGTACCAAAGCTCAAAAGGCCGCCAACGACCAACGTGAAGAAGAGGAGAAGAAGGCAAGTAAAGCAGCTGTACTGGAAACTAATAAGCGCGTTGCGGCATTTCATAAAAAGATGGAGACAGACCAAGCTGCTGCGCGTGCTGATGCACCTAAGCCTAGTCGTCCTCGTCCTCGTCCTGTGAAAAAGGCTGTGAAAGCTCCAGAGACCACCGACTTGACTACGGCTGCCGGTAAGGCTGTTGGCGCTATAGGCAATGGTGGCAGGGCTGATAAATCAGCAGCCAGTGCCAATATTGAGCATCCTGGGAGTGAAGAAGACGAGGAGTTGGAGGTGCAGATGCCAGGAGCATGCAAGAAGAAGGGAAAGAGGATGGTGATCCCAGTGAAAACACCTGTGAGAGATGCGATTGATGTGGCGGGTGCCCTTATCGCCAACGAATCAACACAGGCACGTGATGATGATAAGTCGTCTGACTCGGATGTGTAAGGCATTTAATCGTTTTAACCATGAAGCTCCATCTGACTGAAACATCACTTTTTTTCTTCAATCTTATGGTCTATGATGACGATGCTAGCTCTCCACCTGGTTCTAAAAAATTCAGTCATATCGGTCGTATCCCGAATTGGAGGACGCACATTCACATTGGAAAGCCATCCTCCGAGTCCAACTTGAAGCACCGTGGGAGAGCTTCTGGAGCGCCTTCTACTACTATCTCTAGTGCCACTCCCTCCTCTAAGCTCACCAGGGGGAGCACTTTGAGTAGTGGTGGTGCCTTACTCACGCCTATCGATACTCCTGATGCTGGGGCCAACGACGTGTCGGATCTTTTTACAACTCTGTTTGCAGACGACGAATTAACCGACTCAGTCGAGCGCTCTCAAGCACTCGCTCATATGTCAAAATCAAAGGCTTCTCAGGTGAGTCCAACCATCTAGTTTATTTCTATGTGCTAACTGCATTTCCAGGGTGTCAAAATTTCTCAAAAGGTCTCAGAGAATTCTCGACTTCAAACGAAGTTACCCCATCGCAATGCCAATCTGGCACCCAAGCAGCTCGACCCGATTGAGCCTGATGTCACCGCGGATGATGGTGCCTTCAATCTCGTGGGCGATGATCTTGAGGTGAATGCGGAGACTGCTCCTCCAGTAACTTCCCTCGTTGACTATGATTCCAATACCGAGAGGGAATCTGATCTTGAACCCCCTCCTTCTGCACAGGTTCCAAAAGGATACTATGATGCCGACCGGCCTCCACGTCTCGCTCCATCCTACTTATCCCGCCCTACCAGCGTCAAGCGCAAACTCGTAGATGCTGAGGATGACATTACTGACGATGACTTGATTGAGGACACTCTAATCGAGGACAACCTCATGATCACAGATGACTTTGCGATCGAGGACGACCTCATGTTAATGGATGTGATCAAGGACGACATCATGATCGAAGACGACCTCATGATCGAAGACGACCTCATGATCGAGGATGGCCTGGTCGACGAAGACTCACCCTCCTCCGAAATCGAGTTTGTGGCTCACGTCGAGCCTGTGGTCAAGACTGTGGTCAAGACTGAGTACAAACCAGTGTCCTTGCGGTTGACTTCTACGGTAGTGTGCTTTGGGTTCAATTATTTGAATTCTACTGACTACAAAATTTATAGACCGGTGTCGGCGTCAAACGCAATGCCCCCCCTGCAGCAAAGCGGCTGAAGTCTTCTCGCAGCATGTCCAGCATTCCAAGTACTGTGAAACCTCAGGCTGGTCCCACGAATCCGTTAGAGGTGACAGTGGAGATCCTCCCCCGTTCTTCATATAGGATCAAGCATCTTCCTGGAGGACCTCGGGCAGTGGCTAGGTGGAGCACAACCTTCATTCCCACTCTCATTTCTGCTATCGGAGACCAGGAAGAAGTCTGGGGTCGTATCGAGTCGGAAGCAACGTTCCACGCTACTATACAGGACACCTGGGATGCTGTCTATGAAGATATCCCCCATATCGTCACGAATGATGGACCCGTTATAGCTATAGTGAGTTATCTTTGACACTATTCATGTCTGACCTTTATTTTTTCCTAGGCTCTGCAACGGCTATCAGAGTGGCGCAATTGCATTGGCACCACGGCTGTCACGGTATACACAAACTTCCTGTCGTTGCAAGATGATGTCAAGACTGATGAAGATCGCAAAGCATTTTCCGAGAGCTTACTTGTCAAGTTAGCGTTCCTGTATGGGAACATCCCGGAGGAAGGGAAATTGGAGAACCCTTTCGAGTCTGAGCTTATCATTCAGGTACTCACACAGCACGCATGCGCTACTTTGGGTGCTATTGGCGACCATCACACAACAGCGCATGCAAAAGGTGCACTCAGCCTTTGCACTGCAGCGGCATGTATCTTCCTGCCCTCTCTTCACAGCACGGCTAATTATTTCCTGTGTTTTAGGTGGAACGTGCCATCCGCCTTATCGCTTCCGAGACGCTTGTCAGCGAATTGGAGGCGAACAGTAAAGGCAAGGCCGTCAAGGTCCCTCACTCTCTCAACAAGTCCTCGGGCAAGATCAGCGGCTCTCGAAAGGCGTTCTCGGACACTAATTTCGGTGTAATGACCAGGCGCTACATGACATCCATCAACCGCCTGCAAGACTCAGTCATCCAGGATATCTGGGAACAGGCGAAGGAGATTGCCTTTAAGAGGCGCGGTGCACCCTCCGCTCCAGACGAAGACTCGGAGGATGAGCGCGCACTCATAGGGTTCTAGTTGTTGTCTTTCTTGTTGCCCACTGCATGCATCTCCTTTACTGCTTCACTGCTTCATAGTATGCTACTGCTTCGCTAATTGCTGCTTCTGAAACTCCTTTTTAGTGTCTTTTGTCCAACTTTTTCTATACTTAATCTACTTGTCGCTTGAAATGCTATGTTTTGCCGTCATTTTTCTCTCAAAAAGTGTGATTAAGTCGCAAACAAGTAGAAAATAAGTGAGATAAGTGTTATTACTTGCTGCTACTTTTGCTAGCACTTGCACTACTTACAAAGGCAAAATTATCGAAAAAAGGCCAAAATAAGAGTGGAAAAAGGTCCAGTCAAGAGGAGGCATCTGCTTTTTCAACTTAAAATTGCTTGTGGCAAGTGGGTGTCACAGTTCTTGCGCGTGGCTTATCCGCACCTTTTTTGGAAGTTAACCGGCGGCAAGTTACAAAAAAGGCAGTTCAAGAAATGTGAGAATTTACTGATGCATCACCTTCTATAAGAGCTAGTTCGGCAACTCGATATTTTCGATATTTTTCAATATTTGCTTTGGCATGTTTGCGAAAATGTTCACCGGCATCGTTCCGAGATGTCGGAGCTCGAACCTTGCTTCTCTCCTACTGTACATATTATCAATGGATGTATACCCTCATCTAACCCTAGAGCGGCGTAAGAGGCTTTTTGCTGGTGCGGTCGCGATCACTGCGATCTGTGCACAGTACACTACTCTTCTCATGGCCCAACCTGAAGTCAATGCTCCCCCTAAGTCCAAGGCGATTCGGAGCTTGAATTTGAGCTTATCAACAAGATCAGTGATAATGAGGGTAGGGTATATACCTTGATGGATCCCCAACCACTGGGGTTCGCGATGGAGCGCCAACGCCTAGCAGCGCTCATGACGAATCCTCGGCCAGAGGTCCGGGAACGACTCCTCAAATGCATGGTACTCGTAATCAGCATCGTTGTTGCTTCTACGCACGGCATCCTACAATCAATATATCCCAAAGATCCCGAGCCCTATCACACTTCAGCGCTAACTGGGCAAGACTGGGTGATCGAGTTGCTCACTGGTCACCCAGAGCGCATCAGGTGTGAGCTTGGCATGCGCGCCAATGCATTTGTGGAGCTTATCTCCGAGCTTCGCACCATGGGCCATTCAGACTCCAAGTTTGTGTCCCTCGAGGAACAACTTGCGATTTTTCTTTACACCTCTGTGACTGGCCTATCAATCAGGCATGTTGCGGAGAGATTTCAACGCTCGAACGAAACGATTTCACGGTGAGTTTATTTTATTTTATTTCAAGTGACAGTATCTAATAGTATGTAGTTATTTCCGCAAGATGCTTATCATCTTCACGTCGGACCCGTTCTATTCAAGATACGTGCGCTTTCCAGATGGTTCGGTCCCCCGCAAAATTCGGAAGAACCCCAAATGGTGGCCCTTTTTCAAGGACGCTATTGGGGCGATCGACGGCAGTCACATCCACGTCACGCCTAAGGCCATCGAACGTCCGGTGTATCGTAATCGCAAGGGCTTCGTGTCGCAGAACTGCCTTTTCGCATGCGATTT